AAAGTAGAAAATAAAGTAGAAAGCTTAGGAATAATAAATAGTATAGACTTAAACCCTGAGTCAAAAAATTTGCTAAAAAAGTTTGAACAATTTTTGAATGAAAATACTATTTTCAAAGAGGCTTATGAACCTTCTTTCAAAAGGTCTTCTTTTTTTTTATCAAAAAGTTCAGCGTTCTTAATTTTTCCTGTCAGTGAATCTTCCCACTTTCGAAGAAACTGTAAAACATCACCTTGCAGTGTGCCTGCAAGATAGTTAAAAAATCTTTCAGTGATCCATGAAAGATTGTTTGTTATAGCAATAGTCATGGATTGTGCCCCTTCGCTGATAACTTGGTTGTATTCAGAGAAGGGAACATTTTTAATATCCAAATAAGTTCCAGTTACAGAAACTTGATATTTGTTTAGATCTTCTCGTCTCTTGTTTACAATGGGAATTGGTTTTTCAGATGTTGCAGACGTTTGAGGCTTTTCCTCAGTAGTCTGGCAAAAGTCTTCTTTGTTAGAAGCTTCCTTTTCTTTTTGAAAACTTCGCCGGTAATCTTCCCATTCTTGGGCTTAGTACCTTTAGGTTTCTGGGTAGTGATCTGGCTCTTCAACCTTTCGTTTTCCTTTTGAATCTGAAGCTGGTTTTTCAACATTGTTTTCAAAATCGGATTCTGTATCAGATTCGATTTTGAATTTGAAAACCGAAAAAGACTCATCTTCATCTATGTTTAAAATGAGATGGTAATTGTTTTTTATCATGAGATTTTCATTGTCAGAAAACAATTCTTGCATGCTTTTTTGAAGCTTTAATCTGTCTTCAAAATCAACTTCTTTGATATACTGGGATTTCTAGTATTCAAGAATTTCTTTTATGGCTTTGAAATCATTATACTCTTCTTCTAGGGTCAAGATTTCAGTCCCAAAATAGAGTGACTTGCGTGGTTCATAAGCCTCTTTGCAAACATTATTTTCATTCAAAGATTGTTCAAAACGTTTTAGCAAATTTTTTGACTCAGGGTTTCAGTCTATACTATTTATTATTTCTAAAGCTATCTACTTTATTTTCTACTTTAAAAATCCGTTCTGAAATTTTTTGTGGAATTTTTGAAATATTTTTAAGCCGGTGGTTACAGAAATGAAAAAGTCCATTTACACTCCTACTAAGTTTTGAAACATCTTTTTTCTTCGTTTTTAGCTAAGAAGTCTATTTCTGCCATGTTGTTTTTCTTGGCACCTAAGACCTCATGTAATAAAAATTTTTTGAACAAAACGGCCTAAACGCACTCCTGGCTAAACGGCCTCACAGTTCGAGAAACCACACACCGGCGTATGGGTTTTAGAAAAACCGAAAGGAATAAAATGCCTTGCTGAAGAAATAATTTAGATCAAAATAAAACTGAACATTAATATCATAAGGATAAATAAAAGAAACAGATATTTAAATCTTACAAGAAGAAATGACAAACTTCACTTCATATATTTGAACAGCAACTACAAGCTCTGAGCATATAATCTAACATCAAAACAAGCTCTGATACCAGTTACACCAGAGTTGCAATAGACACAGGTGATAAGCGAATTACAGTATTGTAAAAGAAATATGAAGATGAGAAAGATGGAGAAGTTGTGTAAACAAGGCATGCAGAAGAGAAGGAAGAAGCAGAAGAACTGAGCAAACAACTTGTATGAGAAAGCAAAAAACTAAGACTAATACCCTAAAGCTCAAACTCAGAGTGAAACTCTGATTTTCGATGCTTCAAACAACTAAACTGAATCCCTATTTATAGAGGACGGACTTCAAATGTTTACAAACTCTATTTGAATTCTACAATAAATGGGCTGGTTGCACCATTAATGTGGTAGATACAAAAGTAATGACGTGGCCAGTAAAAGTTAGTTGAGGTGTGCAGGAAAAGTAAATGAGGTGTCCAGGTTGCATTAATTGTAGTGGTTGAGGTGTCAGGTCATCATGAATGCAACTGATGAGTCAACCGGTGAAGTATCCTAAGCTTCATTAAAGTGACAAATGAGTCATCCTAGCAGCATTAATTGTGGCCGGTAAGGTGTCAGATGCTGACGTCGGCTCCTACATTGTAGCCTGCGTCATTGATGACATCATGTTTTGCGTCATCCTAGAATCATTGGGACACGTGTGCTAGATAATTTTGCAATCGGGCCGTCCCAAAAAATATTATTTTAACGTTTCATCATAATTACAATATTGGCTTTTCCAATACTATCCAAAATGTCACTGCTGGCAAAGGACTGGTTTTCCCATTTATTCAGCAATGTATCTCTAAAAATTTCGAGTCTCTCTTCAGCTTGATTAGCTAGATTAGAGGGGAGATCCATTAGTACTGTTGTAAGATCGAGATTTAGATATTTTTCTAAATATATATCTAACTCTTCCTTAGCTGTGTGAGCTATCGAAAGGTCTGTTACAAACAGTCTTCTGCCGTTTGTTAATTTTGTCGTTCTTGATTCTTTAACAGCAAACAATTTTTTAGCGAATGCTATTATAGTTTTGACGGCATATTCAGCAACATCTAGATTTTTTATCTCCTCTACAGTAACAAAGTTTTCTTCAGAGATATAAAAATCCATTTGCTTTGTTTTTCTCAATTCTCAGATCTGGTATGGCTGGAAAAAAATTTCTCTGGCAAACCATCCAGTGGTACTGGTTATGTCAAAAGTCAGGTGGTCAATGTGAATCCATGATTTGGAAACTCTGTAGACCATGCTTTTGATTAAATTGGAAAGGAACTTGAGGGATAGTGACTGAATGTGCTCAAATATGATTTTTCCCATGAGGCCCCATTCCACAATCTCACCATAATCATAGTTTTGATTATAGTCGAGATACAAAACAACTTTGATGTTCTGGTGCAGGTCAAGATATAGGTATTCAAACTGACTTTCCAGGAGTTCTAGAATTTTCGAAAATTGACCCCTGTCTACCATTTGGGATGTTTTTGAAAATATGTCACTAGGCAAGACCTGTTTGGCCTTTTCATAGAGACAGATTCCTTTGATCTTTTCAAAAACCGAATCACCTGTTTGATGATCGAGAAGTTGTGAAATCTCAAAAAAAGAATTTATTTTGTCAAAAGAGAAGTCTTCATTCCAGTCCATTTGTTTAGTAGATAAAAATATTTTCTCTTTCAATTTTTCAAAATTTCGACTCTGATTGTTTATCAGGTATGAGAGGGAACTCATGTGTTTTCCAAATTGGGTTTTGTTTCCTAAGATAGGTTTTTCCATACCTGGTCTAGTTCTTCATAAATATTGTTTGGAATATCAGGTTTTCTGAAAAAGCTAGAAACTTGTTTAGTTTCTATAGGGTAATTTTGGTGAAGGTCTTTTTGCAATTCTAAAGCTTATTTGTAGGAAATTTTTTTTGAATTTCGGCTTTGAGCAAATTGGTTATTCGCTTTAGACCATTCGTTTCCCTTATTGTTTATGAGTGGCCGCTTTCCTTTGTTGACAGATCTTTGTTTAGGATTTTGTTTCTGACTGTTGAAGAATATCAAATTATTTAAATCATAATACATTTTACCAAAAAATACAAAACCCTAATTAAAATATTGTAATGCATTAACCTTTTCAAACTGAAATTGATTTGGGCCCAAACTGGTAAATCTTTGGTTGCTAAAAGCCCTCTTATGCGACCACTCCAACCTCCAAAAACTATCTCAAAGTATTCCTTTTGTTTTCACAAGAAATCGAAAGAATTGAAATTTTTTGATCTCATGAAAAATCTCAAATCCCAAGTTTTTTTAGAGATTTTCTCCCTCTAGTACGCACAAGAGGGGTTCTGGGGGCCTAGAATGACCCCACAAACCCTCTTTAGCCCTCTTCAAGGAGGAAAAATCTCGAAAAAGCCCACGGCAGAGGGCAATATCCACCCTCGTCCTCCCTGTCATGGGGTGCCGCCTAGGCAGGCAGGTGTCCAGACACATGGCGCCTAGGTGGCTCACCTAGGTGCCACCTAAGTGTTTTGGCTTTCCAGCCGCCTAGGCAGCTGGATGGCAAATTTTCAAACTATGGTGGAGCTATAAAGTTTTTTCTTCCCCATCGAAAATAAGGCAGCGCCATGCAGCAGCTTACATATCCCAACTGGCCCTAGAAAATAATGAAGAGGACCATAAACAAGAGTTTCTGGTTAGGATATAAAAGAGTATCCATATCACGACTCTTGTGGAAATGACACCTAGAAAAATCAGGATGGCCAAACTAAACAGATGCAAAGTGAACAAAAAATTGTTTGAATGTACCCTAAACCACAATACGGGAATGCTGTGGGGGAACACTAGAAACAATGAGTACAATACTACAGTCCAAATTATAGAAGTGGTTCAAATTTTTATTTTAGTCTTTATTTTCTCTAGCAGTCATTTTTTATGGTTCATCAGTTTCCAGTAGAAATGAAGCAAACTTGAAATAATAACACGAATATCATACAGTGGCCATTACTGCTACCATAAGAAGTATACTATTGTAGTTTGCAGGTAGTGCACTGTATCTAAGAAGTACACTATTGTAGTTTGCAGGTAGTGCACCCTATCAATGAGTATATTCATAAGTCGGTCAGGTTCCTTTTTATCCCAGTATTTCTTTTTACGTATGAAGGTCCTTGGCAAAGTAGCTAGGAAATCAATCTCATACTTGTCACTTTATTGAATGCTCCAAATAATGAGAGAGAGTCATGTGGTGGAGCCAGTGCCTCTTTATTGTATTTGAGGATGAAGCATCATGTCCACCATCCCTAGTAATTATTTGTGGCACCATTCTGTGAAAACTACGCATTGTGTCTCTTTAATTCATTTTATATATTAGTGATTGGTATTGATGTATTAGTTAAGATGCCAGTTTACCAACCTCAACTTAGGTAATTGGCTTTTGTTTCCTCATGAAAAACCAATCAGGAATTGCATCAATATTTTCCTTTTTAAGTTCATATCATTTAGCATATAAATATAAACCCAAAAAAGAGAGAAATGCCTTAGGTCAAACCTGTGCAATGATGACATACTGGGGCAATGTAACATAGCTGCACCAGCACTGTATGATAATCCTGCAATATCCAAAAGAAAATTTGATTTTACAAGCATTGGAGGATGAACCTCATTATTATCAATGTAAGTAGGTCCTGACTGCATTGGAAACAGTATAAACAATAATCGGGCAACTCATTTGCTTCACTTTTATTTTAATCAGCTGGATATACAAAGTTCAAATGCATCATAGGTATCAACCTGTTCAAGCTTCAATTGTTCCGTAGCATTATAGATATATAAGTCAAATTTCTTCAAATTGGCAAAAGTGAAAAAATGTAGGGATCTAGACCATATTAAATGCATTAAGAGTGAGGCTAAAAAATGAAAAGATCAACGAAAGGTAGAGAGTTTATTTTAAAAAATTATTAAATGACGAACACAATAGGAATATAGTAGTAAAAGGAACCATTGGGATATGAGGGCGAGGGGTCATCGATACATTCGTAGGATTAGGATATCCAAAGTGAAAGAAGCTTTGAAAAGGATGAAGATAGGAAAAGCTATAGGACCATATGGTATTCTGATAGAGGTTTGAAAGTGCATGGGGGAGATTGGCACTAACTAGCTGACAAAGTTGTTCAACAAGGTGTTGAAAACAAAGAAAATGTCAGATGAATGGAGGAAAAGTATTGTGGTACCTATTTACAAGAACAAAGAAGACATACAGAATTATGAAAACTATCGAGAGATCAATCTTATGTGCCATACTATGAAGTTGTGGGAGAGAGTGATTGAGCAACGACTAAGGCATGAAGCGAGTGTATCTGAAAACCAATTTGGTTTTATGCTGGGGAGATCAACAACCGAGGGGATTTTCCTGCTTAAACAATTGATTGAGAAGTTTAGGGCGAAGGGAAAAAACCTCCACATGGTCTTTATTGCTCTAGAGAAAACTTATGATAGAGTACCTCGAGATTTGATTTGGTGGGTGTTAGAAAAGAAAAGAGTCTTCAGACATTACAGCGACTGGTGAGAGATATGTATGATGGAGCGCTAACTAGTATACAGACAAATAGTGGAGAGACTAGTGAGTTTTCAGTGACAATAGGCTTACATCAGGGATCACCATTGAGCCCATACCTCTTTGTCATAGTTATAGACGACTTAATTAGGCACCTACAAGATGAGGTACCGTGGTGCATGTTGTTCGCGGATGACAGTTTTGATCGATGAGACTCGAAACAACGTCAACACAAAGTTAGAACTTTGGAGGGATGCTTTAGAATTTATAGATTTTAAAATTAACTGGACTAAAACAAAATATATGAAATACAAGTAGGAGTGTAGGAGTAGAGACGAGGAAGTAGTTAGGATTGATGACCAGAAAATACCAAAAAAACCGCACTTTCGATATCTTAGGTCAACAATCCAGAAAAATGGAGAGATTGAGGAAAATATCGCACATAGAATTGGAACTGGGTGGGCGGATATGTGATCGCTACAAACCAATGAAGCTGAAGGGCAAGTTCTATTGGACAGCTATGAGACCCGCTTGCATATTGGGCAAAC